CAAGATGAGCAGCAGAAGCAGCAGGAGGAGGAGGGGAACGAAGGAGCAGGACGCAGAGGAGGAAGAAGCAGGGGGAGGAGGAAAATGATGAGGAGAAGGAGGAGGAAGAGGAGGAGCAGATGGAACCTGAAGGAAGGTGCAAACAAGCCGAAGAGGTCGGGATGTCGTTGGGACTAGAGAGTGTACAGATGGGAGAGGGAGTGGGAGGTAGCGAGGGAAGAAGATTAGGGAGTAGAGGAAAGAGGAGGGAAGAGGAGGGAAGAGGAGCAGTAGCAGTAGCAGTAGCAGCAGCAGTAGTAGTAGTAGTAGTAGTAGTAGTAGTAGTAGTAGTAGTAGTAGTAGTAGTTCTAGTAGTAGTTCTAGTAGGAGTAATAGTAGTAGTTGTAGTAGTAGTAGTAGTAGAGTAGTAGTAGTAGTAGGAGGAGGAGGAGGAGGAGGCAGTAGCAGTAGCAGCAGTAGTAGGTCTAGTAGGTCTAGTAGTAGTAGTAGGAGGAGGAGGCGGGGGAGGAGGAGAAGACCGAGGACAGGCAAGAAGAAGGTACTGAATATCATCAGGAGAGAATGGAAAACGAGGCGGAATGAGTATCGGGAGCGCGATCCCAACGACGGCCATGACAAGAAGGATAAGAAAAAGCATATGGAGAAAAATAAGGAGAAGCATAGGGAGGAAGAGGAGGAGGAGGAGGAGAAGTCAGAGAACGGGATCCGAACGAGAAGAAGGCTGGTTAAAATCAGAAGAGGAGAGGAAGCCGAAAGGGAGGCGGCGGCATGATAATCAGGAACGGGATCCCAACGACTACCATGACAAGGAGGACGATAAGTAAAAGGGATTAGGCGAAGAATAGTAATAAAAGGATAATGAAAAGCATAAGGACATGGAGATAAGAAGGATAAGGAGAAAGATAAGACGTATCACAGGCAAAATGGCAAATTGCTTCCGCACATGCTCTCTCAAGAGTGAGACCCTTAAATCATCATGCAGACACACATACTAAAAATTACTGCGCATCGAAGAAGGAAAAGGATAAGGATAAGGAGAAAGAAAAGGAGAAGGAGAAAGATAAGGAGAAGGGGAAGGAAAAGGAGAAGGAGAAGGAAAAAGATAAGGAGAAAGATAAGGAGAAGGAAAAGGAGAAGGAGAAGGAGAAAGATAAGGAGAAAGATAAGGAGAAGGAGAAAGATAAGGAGAAGGAGAAGGACAAGGTCCAGGCATAAGGGTAAGAGATAGATAGAGGTGAGGGTGAAAAGACACAACACCGAAAACAAGGTAAGAAACCCAAAAAATAAAGATTAGGGGATAAAGAAGAAAAGGATAAGGATAAAAATATATAGATTGAAGTGGATAAAGATACTGATAAGGAAAAAGAATCAATACATGTCAACATGTACCGACAGAGAAGGGTAAATTAGCAACTGGCCCCTGCGCAGGATGACATGCATAAATCGAGATATGGTCCAAATTACCCACACAAAAAAAAAGAAGTAGAAGAGTAAATTCACCTCATGTGCAAAGAAAACAAGCAGGACAGCAGCAGGCAACGTTGATGGGCGTGGCGCGCAGCAGTGGCGCGCAGCAGGCAAGAGAGAGGTCAATGACGAGAAGACGACAAAAGAGAACCGACGAAAAGGGAGAGAGGGAGAGAGGGAGAGAGGGAGAGAGGGAGAGAGGGAGAGAGGGACGGCGACAGAGGGAGAGAGGAAGAGAGGAGAAAGGGGAGAGGGAGGGACGAGGACAAGAGATGGATGATGATTGTATGAGAATTTATGACTAGATGATAATTTTTTCATTTTTCCTAACTTCGAAAAATCCGAGTGCTCGACTTTTACCATCTTTCCCCCGAACACAACGCACCCTCATTATGAATGAACACAAGTCATCAAATACAGTCATGATGAGGGTGCGTTGTGTTCGGAGGAAAGCGGTAGACCGTATAAGCACCTCGTTCAAAATGAAAATTATGAATTTATTTTAAAAAAAATTAAAAGAAGCTACCCGATCAGGAGCAGGAATTATTAAAGTGAATAAAAGCAAGTAACCCGATTAGGAGGAATTAAAGGAAAGCACAAGGGGAGGGAGAAACAGCAGGAGGATTAGGAGGAAGGGGGGGAGGAG